TATATATATATATATATATATATATATATATATATATATATATATATTTTTTTTTTTATTTATTATTTATTTATTTATTTATTATTATTATTTTCTTTTGCTCTGCCACTAATAAAAGCTTTATAAAGCTATTGGATTGCCACATCCAGGTACATGAGCTGGCTTCTGTAAAGTTCATTACTTCCAGCGTTATTTCCCATTTCCTGTCTGTCACCTCTCAGCCTCCAACCAGCTGCAGCAGCAGGGCCTTTTCCTTACCCTCCACCACCCCCGCTTTTAATCACACCAGGTTAATTAAAAGGCCATCACGCCTTTCTTCGGCCCACCCCGCTGGCTTTATTACCCCTTTGCCATATACTTGCTTTGCTGCCTCAGCCACCATGGCTGCTCCCTCCTCACGCACACATGCTTTCAATCACACGGAAATAGGAGCTCACCTTGGTGGTGGTACAGAGGCTGAGGAGACAAAACAGAGGAAATGAGAAACAGGAAGAAGTGTGTGTGAGGAGACAGTCAATAGGACTTTGTGGGGGTTGAAACAAAGGTGTGTGCGCTGAGGGGATGGATTGTGGGTGTGTGGGTGGGGTACCCAAAGTTCAATGTCATTAATTGGTCAGCATTTGAATATTAAGTGAAGAAGTCTGTTAATTAAAGGAATAATAAATGTGCTGCTGGCTTAGAAGGGGGTGGGCAGAGTAAAGGAGGTGGAGGGGGTGAGGAAGGAGAGGTTGTGAGAATGGAGGGCATGTGGCAAGATAGCGAGGAGGAGGCAGGGAGACGGAGCGAGGCTGGGTGTGAGGTGATAAGAGGGAGAGAGACGTCCGTGGGTAAAGGTCTGGCAGTGGTAATTTGTGGAGAGCCGCGTTAATTGTCATAACCTTTTAAATGGCAGAGTTTATCGGAGTCCTCTAAATGTCCCCGCATATCGCCACGGCAACCCTAGGCCTGCTTCACTCTGATTGGCCACAGCAGACGAGCACTTAAGCTTGATGAGTTTTCCGACCAAAACTAAATGATGACACTGAAAGAAAAAAAGGATATTTGTATATAAATTGTATACAGTATGTCAGTTTTTGTGCACAGGTACCTGATGGTGCGTCTGAATATGTGCGAGACGATGTTTTCATTTTAGTGTTTTTCTTTTTTTACCTTTTACAATGACTGACACTCGCTAATTGCTCGGCCAGAATCCGCCACTGTTTTTTTTTTCTCGCCTTTTTTTTCCACCTTGTTTGATTTATGTTTGTTTTTGTGCAGCGGAGTAGCAATTCAAATGCAAATGAACAAGAATGAGAGAGGTGTTTTTGGAACTGTTAGGACAATCATAATGGCTCAGAGAAAAAAGTGTGTGTGTGTGTGGGGGGGGGGGCGATAGTTAGCGGCACAGCACCCTAGGGGCCTCATTTAGCTGCCATTTGTTAGAAAATGCCGCTACATTTGTTCCTGAAAGAAAAAGTACCCAAAAAATGTCACGGTCAAAGTCGAGCATGCCAACACATTGCTATCGTTCCTCAGTACAGAAGTCATGTGGGTGTACTCCTGTTTGGGTGAATGTCCTCTTTATCGTCGTGCCAAAGCAGTTTAAGTGAAAGAGTGGACGGTTTGGTGGTGACAGGGACTTTCAAAACGTGTGTGAAGTGAGTAAGGCACAAAGGCTGACTTATTTGATTAGCTTGTGTTGAAGAATAAAAAAAAAAGGCCTAACAGTGGCAACTTCAGCTAGCACTATTAGCTCCATTTGAAATCATCCCTAAGGGAAGGCCTGCACACAAATCAGTGTGGCTGGACTGGAGGATTTGTATGTTTTTCCCTTTTTTAGGGGTTTAATCTAGGGGAGACAGGGGAGCGAACGCATGCATGGAAACGCTGCTGAAACTGTTCCGTTAACATTTATTTATTTATTTTCTTCCATTAATAAAAGTTATACTTCAGTCCAAACTGCAATGGTGATCACATGGTGGTAACTATGGCCTGCGTGTGACACAGAAAAATACTCACACATGTTTATCTATAGGGGACGCTAGCATTAAGGTGTTTGCCTCTGATCATTTAACTTCTAAACTGTAGCTCTCTAAATGTATTGGCTTATGTATGAACAATTCCTGGTCTCTGCTGAGTCACATGGTATATAGATCACGCCCATTCGTGCCAAAAAAAGTTTGGGGCTAAGTTGCTAAGTTGTAAAGTTTGCAAAAATGACTTGTGATCATTTAGCAAAAGTTTAAAGTTCAATCACCGTCAAACTCACGATCCTAAATCTAGATGGTGTGCTGAACGTCAGTTCTCAAGGGTAAGTAGTTACATTTTTTAAATGTGTAAGTTGCAGCTATGCAAATACTTTGAGAAAGCTAGCTAAAGACAAATTCAGCCATGTCTTCAAAATAAGAGCAGATGATGAGATGAAAGTCATACTACTGTTACGGGAGTCCATTCTGAGATAGTGGACCAGCTCTTACAATAATTACTCTATAAGGAACGCTATAAATCACATACATTTTTCTGCAAATATGACTAATTGGATATTTATTCAATTTTGCACCGACCTTTAGAACAATGCCCTGAGCTTAAACTGATATGCATGTGCAGGCAAAGTGGGCGTGATCATCTAAATGTGAAGCACTGACTAATTTAGGATGATGGTGGAAGTTTTAGTTTTCTTTTATTTGACAATTTGTTTAAAATCCTACAGCAGCAGTGATTATAAATGCTGTTTCACTTACTGGTAGATTTGATTTAGATCTCATTTAGAAAAGAATCAGTGAACAGATGGAGCCTCTCGTCTTCTAACCAGGCTCAAAGAAATCCTCCTTCAAGACACTGAAAACTCAGCTGGTTCAGAAAATACCTTCACTGTGTAGTCCAGTTCTCTGGTAATCTACCGAATGAGCATTAGAACATCATGAAGATTATATTGAAACTGGAATTTAACAGAAGCATGACAAATACCTCCCATTGTAAAAGTCAGGTTCATGTTATCTTCCATTTGTGAGCTACAAGAATGAACTGTAATTAAAATCTAGGGCAGGGCAAGTCATTTAAAAGTTTTTCTACCCTCCATTCATTTTCATTTACCTGTTTCTCTTTTCCAGGTTGCTGATGGGAGCTGGTGTCTGTCTATAGCAGTCACTGTGTGAGAAGTGAGGGACACCTGGATATGTCTCCAGTCCATCACAGGGACAAATATAGACAAACTAGACAAACACTCACACTCACCTAAAGTCAAGTCAAGTTATAGTTTCCAACAAACCTAACACATGTTTTTAGTATGTGAGGAAAAAGGAGTACCCAGAAGAAACCCGTGTGTGAACTAGAACTCCACACAGAAATGTTTTCTGTTTATTAACCTTTATTTTTAACAGACAAATCCCAATGAGATCACTGATCTCTTTTGCGAGGTGGGCCTGAAGGCAGCCTATACATGTTTTTGGACTGTGGAATGAAACTGGAGTACCCAGACAACACACTTGCAAACTTGAGGAGAACATGCAAACTCCAAACAGAAAGACCCTCAGGTCCAAACCAGGGCTTGAGCCCAGGACCTTCTTGCTGTGAGGCAACAGTGCTAAACTAAGCCAGTGGTTCTCAACCCTGGTCCTCGAGGAAAACTATCCTGCATGTTTTAGTTGTTTCCTTTCTCTAACGCACTTGAGTCAATGGTTCATTTACTTCATCAAGTTCTGCAGGAGCCTGTTAATCACCCATTCATTCAAATCAGGTGTGTTAAAGCAGGAAAACAACTAAAACATGCAGGATGGTGTTCCTCGAGGACCAAGGTTGGGAACCACTGTTGCCGTTGTGCTATTTGTGGTTTGTTCAACTCGTTTTGTTAATTAACAGGCTAATGTGTGCAGACTGCAATGAAATGATCATTTTTGGTCTCCAGATATTTTAAATAAGATGTGTAGCTATGCTTCATTTTGTAATTTCATTACAGCAGGTGCACCTCCACATCTTACTATGTGGAGTTTGTACACAGAGGCTTTCTCCAGGTACTCGGGTTTTCTCTCAAAGACCCAAAACGTGCCTGTTAGATTAACTGGTAACTCAGTTTCCCCTAGGTGGAAGAGAAGAGTGTGAACGGTTTGTCTCTGTCCCTGTGATGGACTGGAGACCTGTATATATGTCCCTCCGCCTCTCACACAGTGACTGATGGAGATAAACACCAGCTCCACCCAAGATGTGGGAAAGGGCAGGAAAACGAAATTGGATGGATTGCTAGATATTAACTGAGGCTTCTTATTTAATTTAAGAGCTTGTAAAAAAAATATATATATATAAATATATATATATATATTTTTTTTTTATATATATATATATATATATATATATAATGTAATATAATGTAATATACACTGTATATAATACCTTATGAGTTGGATAACTTGTAAATTAAGCAATGTACTGACATCCATTTTGATGTATGGCTGCATCTAAGCGTACATTTTTTTTCCTATCAAAATTTGTGTTGCCACATCAAAATGCAGTCCAGAAAATAACTCATCTCAGAAATTTCAAGCATTCACTATTCAAATCCCTCAGAGATGGGGGACATCAGTGAACCACTTGTTGCTGTTGGTGGAGGGGGTGAGATTTAAAACTTGGAAACACATTTTATTTTGAAAACATTACCCACTTTGAGCACAGATGTTCCAGGAAAATATTCCAGCTGTTTGGTTAGGTTAGAAACATCTGTGCTCAGTATGGAAATGAGGTTTCCCATTTAAACTGGGGAAACTCCATCGGATATCATGGAGAATGGCAGGCCTAACTGTGTGTATGTGAGTGTTTCAAGGTAAAGGTGGGACTGCATTTTGGATCGACTGTGCCCCTCTTTTGTTTGCTCTGGGGATGGACAGTCCAACAAGAATCCCCGTGGACTACAATGTTTGCAGATGACATTGTGGTCTGTGGTGAGAACAGGGAACAGAGGGAGGGAACTTGAATAGGTGGAGATATGCACTTGAAAGAAGAGGAACAATAATCAGCTTTTGCAAGACAGAGTCCATGTGTGTGAATGAGAGGGGGGTAGGTGGAACAGTGGGGCTACAAGGAGCAGAGGACACAAAGGTGCAAAACTTCAAGTACAGTACTTCGCGTCCACTGTCCAGGAAAATGGGGAGTGCAGTGACGAGGTGAAAAAGAGGGTCCAGGCAGAGTGGAGTGGATGGAGAAAAGTTTCAGGTGTGATTTGTGACAAAAGGGTGCCAGCAAAAGTCAAAAGAAAAAATGCAACAGTAAAATCAGATCAGTGGGACAGACCAAAAGACAGGAGAAAGAACTGGAAGTGGCAGAAATGAAGATGTTGAGGTTCTCCTTAGGAGTGACAAGGATGGAGAAGATTAGGAATGAGATCATCAGAAAGACCTTATATTTTCTCCTCATCAAATTTCAAGTCTGCTGTATGCAAAGTTGAAGGAGTTCTGGGGATGAGATTAGCCAGGGTGGACATGCGTCAAGTGGCTTGGACCCCAGTAATAACTGCTCACACTTCTAGTTATGTTGGCTACTATGAATGCTTACTTGTGACTGTGTGCACACAAATGCTGTATGTGTGTGTGCATCCTGTGTTACAGCTCTGGTTCTTTCTTGTAGTCTTTGTGCTAAAGGTCAGGGGGATTGCTGAGATAGAATCCAATCTAAAGGACACAGCACTAGAACAGGACCTGCTACAAATGGACCTATTAAGATAGGCTGGAAGCACATTGACACACACACACACAGACTGCTCTGGGTTACATACACATACACATCCAGATGTCCTCTCATAGCTATTTCCATTCTAATGGTCACCTTTCTCAGTTGCAATGAAAACAGTGACAAAAGTGGAATTGTTTTTCAAATATA